ATTTCTGTCTTTCTTCCTTTGACCACCACTTTTTTCCTCTCTCAGTTCTTTGTTGTTAATTACCGTAGAATTCACTTTCCATATAGTTCAAAGTAAATTAAGCCACGACATGATGGCAGAATGAAAACGTTGACCAATTCCACAACGGAAATCCAAGTTGTTTTTGATTATGATCAATAGTAGTTCTCCATTAACCTTACAATTACTGTTGATCAGGAAGAAATAATTATGCACAGAGGACAGGCTTGTTACGCAACAGGAGTTAGATGTAGTATTAAAGATAAAATTTGAGTTCTGTTGAAGAAGGTAAATAAGTCTTGATTTTCTAATCCTTTAAAAAACATGTCAGTTAGGAAGAATTTCATCGTAGAATCTTTTCCATGAAAAGGATTGCTCTCAAATGCCTTTGTATAAATTATGACAGGAAATAGCTGAAATGTTTGGACCAACTATCATGCTATATGTATGTGTAGTCCCATATACTCATTTATGTGTGCAGTGCATGTTTTTTTTATAGCATGATTGAGTGTGCTTCTATTCATTATGATCATTCAAAATATCACTTCCTTTAAAGTACACAGTCACAATAAACCAGACCTTTTTTCCACAATGTAATCATGCGATCGGATGTCAATGTTGTCTTTAACGTGGTCTGACTAAAAGTGACCCATGGTCAATTAGGATGCAAACAAGGAGTGACCAGCAACTGTCCCTCTGCTTGCCAGAGGTCACTGAATTAATCAGATAATGGATACACATCTATGGAAACAGATTTAAATCATTCCTGAGTGCCGGCTCGACGGAGTTCTCGGCGGGGGTTGTCTTTTGAAGATGATCACTTTTATTGTCGAGAAAACGAAATATATACCAAGAAGTATCGTATCCTATTTTCTCAAATAAAGATAAAAATGCAATCATTTAGATTTGATATAACTAAACAAAAATATAATTCTGAAAATATAAATTTAAATAATTAAATGACAACGAATAATAATATTTACATAGAACTATCAATATAAATGTTTACAAATATAAAAGATCGTGAAAAATACAATTATACAAATGAATAAGGAAAATTTATCAATGTTTGATAATCATGATTTTTTTTTTTGCATTATCATGGAATAGAACATTTCTTATTGAGATGTAACCTAGGAACAAGGAACAGAGATCTATTTGATCAATATTATTATTTAGAGTATCTTGCATGTTGAAGACACTGTCTTCTTTTGGGGGGTGAGGAGGGAGGGGGGGGGAGGGGCTGGGGATTGCTGTTTAACAGTGTCATCAAAATAACAGTTGCGTATCAATAGCTTAGGAAAAACACCAATCTGTGATACAGGCTTGTAAGGATCTGCTGGAAATCGTGAAGAGGTTGTCGATCTGCTAGTCCATTTGACCTGATTTCATCTTGGTAATCCTCTTAAAGATAGTTAGGATGGTTCGGAAATTGCATTACAAGGATGATACCTAATAATTTGTATCATCCTTTCCCATGTTTCCACTTTGTCTAGGGAAGACTAAACAAATCTTTTCCTCTCAATTAAGCAATTGACAAATGAAGTACCCTGATATCTGTGTAGTACAATTTCATCTGCTCAGAAGCAAAAGGGGTTTGATTGGTTTTGAGGTCAAGGAAATAACTATACAATCTTGCTGATCTAATTCAGATTCTGCTAATGGAGTCGTTTGTTTTCATAAGTACAATGCATTTTTGCTCTTACAGAAAATATGCAGCTAATTGCCATATTATTCAAGTTTGTTTGTAGTCTTTTCAGGTGAAAAGCTTTGTAGGAAATATTATGCCTCTTTGTTTGAAATTGATGGTGTTTACTCTGAATCTTTTTTCACCCTCATGTTATGTTTCTGGAACTACTCAAGAGCTTTTCAGAGTCAGTGTTCTGTCGACGTGCTCCTAATGTGGATAAGGAGTAATGTGTAAACTCTGTGATTTTATGTACAAAAGTTTAGAAGTGTGGAAACAGGCCTGATAAAAACCCGATTTAAATCGGTTTCTCGATTTATTTATTTCCCCCCGATTTTTTCCCGATTTTTGTTTTCTTCCCGATTTATTGAAGAAAAAAAAGAAGAAAAAAAATCCAGATTTTTTTTTACCAATTTTTTTTTCTTCTTCCATATTTTATCCTGATTTTCCGTATTCTTTCCTACACTGTATTTTGCCTATATTTTCCCAATTTTCCCAATTTTGTCCCAATTTTTCTTACTCGAAAGGGGGGAATGTTGTTAGATGCCATTTTCCCCCGCGAATCCTCTTCTTTTTTTTACTCAAGGGGGGCGTGGTTGAGGGGGAAAACAAAAAACATTTTTTTTTTTTTAGTGCTCACTATCACCCCTGGGAAAGAAAGTGAATAGATTGATCAAGTTCCTTGAGTCTGAACATACAATAGAAATGCATGATGCTACTCGTGTCCCTCCCCCCTCCCAGATTACATAATCCTGGATACGCCCCTATGATTAGATAACCATTTAATTGAGTCCATCAGTCTGACCTCTTCAATATCTGATTCTTCATACAGCGTTTCTTTGTACAATGTTGTTAAACAAGTTCCAAATGCATTTTCTTGAGTCTGAGCAGACTACAAGAATGCATGATGCTACTCGTGTCCCTCCCCCCTCCCATATTACATAATCCTGGATACACCCCTATGATTAGGTAGCCATTGAATTGAGTGCATCAGTTTGACCTCCTCCAAATTTGTTAATTCATATGACGTTTCTTCATGAGTTTCATATACATTCCCTTCAGTCTGAGCAGACTATAGGAATGCGTAATGCTGCTTGTGTCCCCCCCCCCCCTCCCATAATACGCAATCCTGGATCCCCTATGACTAGGTAGCCATTGACTAGGTAACCATTGAATTGCATCCCATACATGCCAACTGTTCATATTAAAGAGGAACATTCCTCTTTTTGGGAGAAGATAATTATCATTTTAATGCAGGTGTTCCTCTTCCTGTACAAATTTGTCTGTAGTATTGAATAAGAGAGTTAGGATTGTTCCTCTTTTTTTTGAAAATAGCATAATTTGTACAGATTTCTGATTTTCAAATGTTGGCATGTATGGCATCCATCAATATGACTTCTTCAAAATTGTACAGCGTTTCTTTCTTTGATGTTCTTAAACAAGTTCCAAATGCATTTTCTTGAGTCCGAGCAGACTACAGGAATGCGTGATGCTACTTGTGTCCCCCATACTAAACAATCCTGAATACATCCTCTTGATTAGGTAACCATTTAATTGAGTCTATCAATTTGACCTCTCCAAAATTATACAGGGTTTCTTTCTTCAATGTTATTAAATGAGTTTCTTTTAAATTTTCTTCAGTCTGAGTAGGCTATAGGAATGTGTGATGCTGCTTTTGTCCCCCATACTATGAAAATACTATAAAAATCCCTCGCGATTAAGTAACCATTTAATTGAGTTCATCAGTTTTACCTCATTAAATTTTGTTTCTTTATGAGTTTCATATAAATTTCCCTGAGTCTTCACATACTATAGGAATGCATGATGCTGCCTGTGTTCCCCATACTACAAAATCCTGAATACGTCCTCTTGATTAGGTAACCATTTAATTGAGTCTATCAATTTGACCTCTTTAAAATTATGCAGCGTTTCTTTCTTCAATGTTATTAAATGAGTTTCATTTAAATTTTCTCCAGTCTGAGCAGGCTGTAGGAGCAGCATATACTATAAAAATACTATAAAAATCCCTCGTGATTACGTAACCATTTAATTGAGTTCATCAGTTTCACCTCTGTAAATTTTGTTTCTTTATGAGTTTCATATGAATTTCCTCAAGTCGAAGCAGACTATAGGAATACATGATGCTGCCTGTGTTCCCCATACTAAACAATCTTGGATACCTCCTCGTGATTAGGTAACCATTGAATAGAGTCCATCGGTCTGGCCCCCGGCCAAGGCCACTAGACTAGCGCTTGAGGTACATGATTTTTAATTACCCTAGCATGAATGCAATACACCTTCCCAAGGGATTAACTCCTACTCATGTGAGCGAGTGATATGTAAAGATGTGTGTGAGTAGTAGGAGTCAGTTGATTGCATCCTAAAAGAAACTGCTCAGGAATTATTCTTATCAGGGGCTTTCTTCACCTGTCGGGGATATAACAAACATTTCTCGTAGACTCCTGCTTGAGTTATCTAAGGCCTCCACAGCAACAACAACAGCAACATCAACAGCAACAACAAGAATAACAGAAATGTTTAAACTATTAATGTGGAGCTTCTGTTTATGCATGATAAATCGACAGGCATAAACAGAAATAATTAGAGTGTTTTTATCTGATGAATAATGATTCCACATCTCATGAAGATTTCCATTAAAAAAAAAATCTTTTTGCCAATCTCTGTGCAAAACACATATGATCAAAGATTGGAGCCACGTTCTGGAGCTTTTCCATATTTCCTGTAGCCAACACACATAGGATAGAACATCAGGCCCCAGAAAATTGGTGATCTATGTTTGTTCATGTACACACAACCAACATCAGCAACACCCACCATGGTAGCAGCAACAACATTGGCAATAAAACAGCAACAACAGAAACAAAAACATCAAAATCATCAATAACAACAGCAAAGATAACAAGAGCACCATCACCAACAACTAGAGCATTACACAACAACTCTGAAGAAAAAAAAGACATTATTCACGCACTTGTAGTAATACAGCTGTTTGTTGACACTCTTTAAAGTTAGTATATAACTTTATTTTGTCATACTTTCAACATTTCAGTCATTTTCTTGAATTTTGTTCCTGTTTTTGACATTATATTTATGATATTTTTGAGTGGTAATGCTAACTTCTTTTGGACGTATAAACACCAACCAGTGATCTAAATATGACACAGAAATCTGTCATTCATGAAACTGTTTTTCCTTGCTATTGTCAGATTAATCAATACCTCATGATTTGTCATGTTTCTTAAAACTGAATGAAAAAAATGATAAGACACAAATGTAATAGAAAACAGACAAATTGTATCCAGTTTATCAAGTACCAAATAAGTTCTGGCAAACCAGCTTACAGAGCTTTGGTTAAAAGTAGAGACCTGATCAAAGAAATGAATAAGTAAATTAATAGAATCAAAATTATAACAATTTGTTCACCATTTGGATACACATGGTGGAACTGTAAGAACATTGGTGTACATGTAGAGCTCTTGCATTGAACAAAAAAAATATTCATGTCATTTAAAAAGGGGAAATATAACTATATGATGTAGAAAATGATCAGTTTCACAATTTCACAGTTAAAGTTTCACAATATCCAGAAATGTATAATGGGGGTGGTGAAAAGTATTTGTGCTGAAAATATGTGTAAAATTATGATACATATTATTCATATGAGGCCTTTACAGCATTGTGACCTAATAAAGATATCTTTTAAGAGCAAGATGGTCCATTTTAATTACATTGTTTGGAAAAAACAAGAACAGTACTGATGTGCTGTAATAATATATAGATATACTATTTTATATTTTATTTACATCTGTATTTACAAGACTAACATCTCCCTTGACATCAGAATGATATTTTCTTATTTTAGTATTTAATGAAATGCGCTTTCTTTTAGAAATTACACCATTACATATATAGACTGTTTCCTATAAAATTTGAATAGATTTTATTTTACCTTTTTTTTAAACGAGAGTGACAATATGAGATAATCTTGTTAAATAAGGTTTAAATCTTGTCGGAACTTGAATGATTAATCTAAAGAGTCGTATAGATTGATCATTAAGTTCTGAGAAGACATAATATTTATTTATAAAGAAGAAAATTAAATTGTCACTATCGTTTATGAAGAAGGGTTAACAAAATGTATTCCAACTTCATGGGCAACATGTGAATATCGATCATTAGAATAAGGAGTATTAATATGTTACCTGTATTATGATCTGTCAATATATTAATGATGTGGAAGCACAATTGTCATATAAACAATTTAACTGTGAACTAAATAAAAGGAGACTAAACCTAAACCTCTCCCTCTTTGGAATAATGACTTTCGATTCAGAGCTCCACAAATATGAAATATACCAGGTGCATGTACAAGAGCAAAATGAATAGAAGTTGATACTTAAAATAAATATCAATGTCTGATGCATAACATTATGATCTTCAATGTCAAGAATGTTCATAGAGGAAGTTAATAATGTTTGTTTGCTTATCTTTCATTCTCTATTCGTGGCAATAATACAGCCATAATTCACTATAAAGCTCTAATATTTCATTCATTCTCTCAGGCAAGAAACTGACATAACATATGCAACGAGAAACATGTCAGAATAACGATTAAGAGACTTTCAAATCATAGTATATGTTCTTACATGTATAAACACATTTCATGGTCATATTCTCGATGCTCTGACCTACATTCATTTGTATTCAGGCATTTCCTGATTATTGGAAGTCTCTCGATCAAGTGAAGAAAAAAATTCAATCCACATTTTGCTCATCACATTTGTGATACATTGGACATGGCCAAGTATTTTCTCAGTCTGGTCATTGCAATGATAACACATATACATCAGAGTGTCTATCGTGTACCTACTTGGATAAATAACTTTGATTGAGAAAGGCCACCTTCCTCTCGTTTCATTGTCTCAGGAACACAAGAAATTTCATTCGTTTGGGTAAATTGTGATCGTCCTTTAAGTTAGAGCAACCCTTCCTCATTCATTACTCATTTGTTGATCAGAAGAAATTTCCTTTTTTAAAATGCTCTTCATAATGTCTTTTGATAATGAGCACTGTTGGTCCATGGCAAAATTAATGCACGTAGTCGCGTCAATGGTAAGTGAGGCATTTCCTTTAGGTGTGCAAGACTTAACACAGATACGCTGAAGATTTGTAAGAAGCTGTCCTCAAAAGGATTGAGATTTGCTCTCTTTACAATGCAGAAGTTTCTTGAAGGCCTTCTGGAAGTCTCTGTTAAATTTAGTGTATATGATGGGGTTAAGCATGGAATTGAAGTAACCAAGCCAAAGGAAGATGCTTTCCAGCGACCGAGGAACGTTGCATGATTCACCACATAGGGGCACAATAAGTGCATGGAGAAAAAATGGTAGCCAGCACACCAGAAAGGCTCCAGTGACAATTCCAAGAGTTTTGGTAGCGCGATGCTCTTTGGCAGTAGCCGTTGCGCGTCTCCTTCGTTCCCTCTCCTGAATCTGACCAGGTAGGGGGCTTGGGGATGAGAGGAGACTTCGTTGAGAAGACGGACTCTCGTTGGAGTTGATTTCGCGGAGGGATGTTGAGGTAAAGGTTGCTTGGTGCTGCCCTGGTACAGTCAGTGACGTTACAAAGGTATCCTTCTTAACCTCCTCACCCACTTTGTGTTGATTCTGAAGGTTTGGAGCTGATGAAGTGTGCGTGCTGTGAGACAAGGTTGATCCATCAAAGACGCCTCCTCCTTTGTTATTGTCAGACGCTGGATCACATTTGACAGTAGGAGATTTATTCAACTCCTCAGAATCTTTTCTATCGCCATAGTTTGTAGTTTCACGATAATTCACAGCGCTGTTTAAGGGCTGACACCCCCTGTTGAATGTCTTACCACGGATTCTCTTACGTGCCTCGCAATATATTCTCGCGTAGACGATCATCATGATTGTCATAGGGATGAAATAGGCACCAAAGGTGGAGAAGATGGTGTAGGCTATATTCTGGCTAATCTGACAGGTGTAAGCGTCGATGCTCTGGTTGCCACGCCAGCCGAAGAATGGCGAGGTAGCAATGATACTAGAGAGGAACCAGGCTAAGGCGATGAGGATCACCATGGTCCGCGCTGTCCGGTACTTTGGATACTTGATGGGCTTTGTGATGGCCCAGAATCGATCAAGGGATATCATACAGAGGCTGAGGATACTGGCGGTGCACAGGAGAACATCCAGTGAGATCCACACATCACAGAGTATGGGGCCAAATATCCAGACTACCACTATCTCTTTCGTCAAGCTCAAAGGCATCACCAGAATGGCCACCATCAGATCAGCCACAGCCAAGGATGCTATCAAGTGGTTCTGGGGTGTTTGGAGGGGGCGATGTCTGGAGATCGCGGTGAGCGTCAACGCATTTCCGAAGATTGTCCCAATGATGATGATGCCCAGTCCAATGCTCAGCAAAACGGTGGCTACCGTGATTTCTACGGTCTCAGTCTCTGTCATATTATTTGTGATCACCCACTCATAGCTACTGTCTACATAGTCCACAGTTTCAGTATATGTCACAGTTGCCTCAGAAGCAAAATCAGCCATGACTAAGTATGACTGTCTGGATCCGATTGCTAAGTCAGTGCTTAAGTTCACCTCCTTCAAAATGACTACAGCAATGTTTTGCAAAAGTTTTAAACACTCTCAGTCTTTTAAAAATGCAGGTCTACCGGAAATCTCAACTACAATGCATCAGTGTATGAGAGGTCCTTCAAGGGGAATGGTACGTCTGATCTTTGCTAGCTTCTCGGAGTGCTAGTTCATTTTCTGCAATCAAGCAGAAGGCCTTTGGATGATGCCAGATGTGGTCTTTTGCATAATCGATGGTATCATGCACAGGATCTCCTAATTACTCGTAAGCAGTGAATACCCCTTGACAATACGTTTGATTGAAGGGTCAGTCATGTGTGTGTGTGCTTCTCCTTTAGTAGCTAATTGGCTTTGTTGCTTGGTGTACTTCAGCTACCTGTAAGTTATCAAGAAAGAACAAAAGAGAAACAAAATAAGAAAAGAAATCAATCGTGGATATTGATTATTTTTGTAGACATGAAGTGGAGGGTAAAAGCCTCCCAAGAGTGACAATGTCCATCAACAACGGAGGGTTGCAAACTGTTTAAGAAATTCTTTAGCTGACAGATTGACAAGTTTAAAGGAATAGAGAGACGGGATTCCTCCCTGGTGTTGTTTTGTAAATGGCCATGAAATCTAATCAATCCATAGTTTTGAGATCGGCAAATTCTAAGGAGTGGAAAATTGTTTATTGATATGCAATATGCAGTTATTAGCAGTCCTGTTCCCATCTGATAATCAATATATTAAGGTTGACAAAACAGTCAATACAAACAGACTAAGTGAATAATCTCTTTGATTTGAAATCCATAGTTTTAAGAGACCATTGCACTTTTTGGTCACATCTGTTGCACAGATTTATGTAAAGAGTGTGGGATCTGGAGGTGGATGGCATAAGAGGAAGACTAAAGACTACACTAAAAGATATGGTGAAGGTAGAAAGCAGTAAGGTCTATAATTCTCAGCTATTACACGTTGATCTGCAATGATATCAACTGTGAACTCAATTTGTTCAATAATTGCTGATGGATATTTTGTTTCTATGGTAACTGTGAGAACCCCTTGGGATGTAATTGTACTGTGACATGATGGATGAAATTAGCATATTTCACAAATCTCTCTCCAAACTACTCTCCGTTTTTATAGATTACTAAAGCATGCTATGTGTATGTAAATTTGAGTATCTGTATGCATTTGCTAGTGCAGTTAGACTGTACACTCTCTATAAGGTTCTATAATTTTATATATTCCCAAGTAAATTTCTAAATGATTATTATTTTAACTCTAGAATTGAGTTATGAGATAAATGTAGATATTAAATGGGTACCCGGTAAGATGCAAAAGCTAATGTGCTTAGATTAGCAAATGTGTGCTTGTAAAAATGACACCTGGCTGGAATGCTCCCCAGGGAGTGGAGAATGTGCATACATTGTGTGCAGGTAAGCCTGAATCCGATGACCGGGGTAATAATATAATTGCAGGGCCCTCAGGGAGGCTATTATTATTAGAAATGATAGAATAAGAAAAGCTGTTGGAGTTCTAGTGTTCTTGACATAAATCTTACTAAACTATACCATGGTGCTCTTCCTCCTCAAACATTAAAAATGGATGTAAAAAAAATTGGTTGAAAGCAGATCCTGTATTGGGTATAATTCCACAAATTGGTAAAAGATGGCACAGATTTCTCTCAAAGGGAAAAATACTCTCTATAATCCTGTATAACCCCAATCAGATTTAGGCTCCTAAATCCAGTTGTGCACATATGTTTTGATGAGTTCTTCAAATTAAAATTTGCGAGACTACTTAGAAGTGATGACGACGTGACGATCTAAAAAACACGTTCAGGTGGGGCTGAATAAGTCCTTAATGAAGATAACTTTGTAATCTCTTTCTTAATTGCAAATCGACAGCTGAGTCTGGGGGAATAAAAAGAACCTAAAACATCAATTTGTTAATGAAAGTCCACAGTTATATAATAGTACGGGTTGTCAGGTGGTCATTTGTTGAGAGTTTTTCAATAGTTTCTTAAGTAGTTTAATAACTAATGAAAAATTACGTGCCATCAGCTTTTTGTTTTTCCAAACAAAACTGAACCAGATTTTCTGTGAACTATTTTTGGTTGGAGCCAGTGAACAGATGGATCTGCCTGAAATGCCAATAACTTTGATTGCTTTTCTCAATGATTACACTAAATTGTCTCTCACTCAGTGAAGTGATGTGGTATTACTACCTTATGATATCACATAAATGAGACATAATGAGACATAAATGAGACATAAATGAGACATAAATGAGACATAAATGAGACATAAATGAGACATAAATGGGACATAAATGAGACATAAATGAGACTCTGCTTGGTGGACCATGTGACCATCTTGTTAATACCAAGCCAAAAATGCTATTGACATCAGTATTAATGGCTGCGGCATGTACAGGGTTATAGCCATGAGTTTTATTATCCAAGAACATTGCTCATTACATCTCTTGACATGTGGAAGGACAAGACTTAGTGATGTGTCTCATGTACAGAGGTCTAGAGAACAACAATCCTTGAATTATATTAGAAGAGGGAGAGAGGGAGGGAGGGAGGGAGAGAGGAGAGGAGAGAGAGAGAGAGAGAGAGAGAGAGAGAGAGAGAGAGAGAGAGGAGTTACAGAGAACCTGGCATTTGATAAGTTTAATAGACAGAATGTCTCATTATGTATAAACTAGTTTATATTCTTGTATTTTCTCTCTTTTTCTCTCTTTAACTTGACTCACAATCTTCAAAAGACAAAACCAAACTACATTTGTGTACAAAAATTATACCGTTGATTTCTCTTTTCTCCTAAGTGCCTTCTCCATTGGGATACAACTCAAAAATGCAGGTGATCTTAAAAGAAAAGACCCTCCTAAATCATAAATTGCTAGGTCAAAAAATGCAAGACAGTTTTATGCCAAATATGAATTGAAATAAACCCTGGTAAGCCAGTCCATATAAGATACTCTCCATTTTAAGTGGTGATGAGTAACGTCCAAAGTTAGTACATATTGTAATATTTTGTCAAAGAATTGAAATTCAATAATGATGAATGAATTTTGGAGAAAAGAAATTTAATGGGACTCTGTTATTATCAAGTTGATAAAGATATCAATCATGTAAAACCCTTTTCACTAATCTTGTTTGTGAATTGTGATACATGATTGTAATATTAGTGCAACAATAAGTTCATTTCTATGAAAGCAGAAAAATGGAAGAAACAGAATCGCAAAATTATAAATAATTAAACTATTGATTGATATCAATCTATGCAAACCAGACACAGACAACACTCCTGTTTTTTTTCTTCTTCTAAGTGCCTTCTCCCTTCAGGCTTTACTCAAACTATATTATATGTAGCATATTATTGTAGCTCCTGATATAACAAAAGACCCTCCTGAGTCATACATTTTGAAAAAAATGAAATTTTAGTCATTTTGTTTGCTGAACTAAATGGGAAAGTTGTCCAGCACTATGTCACAGCGACATTACTGATTCAGCCAATTTCAAAGTGCTCATATATATATATATATATATAGCAATCGCAACTTGTCTATTATTTTCCTTTAACATTTCAAAACTGAAGAAATCATATTTTTCCATCCCCATATTCCAGTGCATTTCTTGCAAAGAAACTTGTTCAGAAACTGCCAATACTTTGACATTGACTGCATTTCATACTCAAATTGCACTTGTTTAGGGTGAAAGGAATATGATGAAAAAGAAACAAGGATGCTACTTACATTTTATGAGATTGAGTTGATACCTAATGAATCCAACAAACATTTCCACAGTTAATGATCACCAACTCAGAATGAAGTTATTTGATCCTGAAGGTAATGAAAGACGATAAGTTCGCTATAAGCATGTCAGACAGTACAGATGTTTCTGTAAATTGGTGTTAGAGAGACCATTCACAAGTGTAAATCGCTCAGTACGAGTAGCTTAAAGAGTGGCATTTAGAAACACCACCTTCTCCACCAAAACAAAAACTTTGTAATGGCATGAGACGATGCGAAATTCCATCAGACAGAAACAAGGCAAGTTGCTTGAAGTGGCTCCGGACAGGCTCTCAGGCCACTTTTACTCTCGCACTTCATCCATATTGATTGGAACAAATGCACTGGTTTGGACGGCAATTAATATGCCGTAGCCACAGCTGTACGTCCAATAGGTGACTGACCAGTACTCACCCATTGGTCAGTTGGCTTGAATAAGTTCTACTGGTCAACATCGTATCAGTGTATATGGCTTCACACTGCTGTTTGGGATGGGGAAATACATGTGTGTGAGCTTATATCACTCTCAAATGCGGCATACATCTCCAACGTATGGCAAACATATAAAATAAATTTATATAATTTGGATTAGATGCACATTTTTTTCTTTCATACTGTGCCTTCTTAAATTGGCATGCATCTCCACACTTGCAGTATTAGAATTTTTAGTTTGTGCTTTAGATACAATCCTTTCATCTTGTGCCTTCTTGTTACATTATCATCACTTGAGAGTCAGGAGGATGTTAACTCTCATAATCTTTTAATACAATGTTAAACTCCTTCTGACCCTGAAAAGACAATGCATTTCCAGACCTATTTTGAATTGATTATTAATTTAGTCAGTTATTATCATTAAGCCTCACTATGAATATGATGGACAAAGAAAGCGGACAAAATATACAGTTCCTCGGGTAGACAAGGGAACATCCCTTCACTGCTATTATGTAAAAATGTGTAGAACAGGTGAATATACATGTGACACCTGTTCTACACATTTTTACACAATAGCAGTGAAGGGATGTTCCTTTGTCTACCTGATGAACTGTATATTTTGTCCGCTTTCTTTGTCAGTCATGTTCATAGTGCCTGCTTAAAGCCAAAAGGGTGTTAACTTGGTATCAAATGAACACCCTTCTTGGCTCTGGGTAGATGGATGATGTTATATGTCTGGAGCCAGAAGGCATTAGATCTGTGTTCATCTCTACAACTTGACGCCCTTCTGGCTCCAAACAGATGATACAGAGTTAATGCCCTTCTGGCTCTGAGTACACTTTAGATTAGACTTTCTGATTATCATCTTAGGGCGTGTTTATGCTCAACTTTTTCTGGCCAGAATCAGGCATCTGTTACGCGTTTAGTTTAAAACATGGTTGCGTCCTTTCTCACTTTTGTAGAATCCCCGAAAAACTGCGATCACGATCGCCGATCATAAACTCACAAAAAGATGCGTTAACAATTTGTAAACGCGTTTAAATGGGGTCAACGCACTGACCTCTAGTGGGTCTACGTAGCATGCACAGTGCAGGTTTGTGAATCCAGCTGCAAGACCAATTAGGGCCACACAGCAAGAATTGCCTGGAGGAGCCAGAGAAGTGA